AAAAGGGTGTTATAGTGCTTATGAATTTTAAAAGATTTATCAAAGATGGAGGGAACAATCAAACGGTGACCAAACATGATCAGTTTTGTTTTCGATATGACCAATTTGAGCATCTCCTGTGATGATCAGTGTAGATGATAACCCTAATGGTTATGAGCACTTTTCAGCATTAGGAGCACTCTTTAACACAGTAAGAGATTTTTCAACTAGTTGTTGAATAACTGTCTCCTTTACTCCATAGAAAGGCAGTGGTCAGATTGCCAAATATGTTCTTCATCATAAGCTGACAAAGTCAGAGAGGTAGAATGCCGCATTGTCCCAGTGGAACATCAGTTTACCTGACTGATGACAGAACCAGTGCCACCCAGTTCTCTGTAAGCCAAGGTGGCTCATCATTGAAAAGAGGGGCAAAATGTTTTTTTTTGTGTGTTTAATTTATAAGCATATTTTGTTATACAAATGTTAATTTACACACACACATTCATATTGCATATGTTAAAATCCTTTTTTAACCAGATCTTTACTAGATCCATGTCTACTAGAACGTCACAGTTAAAGTGACATTAAACCCTCAGATTTTTTAACATAAACCAATACTGTAATGTGTGCCTTACTGTAATCCATGGTTGTTTCCCTTCTCTTTGCTGCTTTTCCTTTTAAATCCTCATGTCTTCTCATGCTTGGGGAAAACTTCCCTTTTCAGCTCAGGGCCTCTTCCTGTAGTGCTGGCTCAGGTTTCAAGCCTATACAAACGTATACACAGACACTGTGTATCCATTCCTGAGACAAGGCAGTCTGCTGCAAAACAGAAGTTCTGCAGAGCATGAGAAGAGATACAGATTTAAAAGGAAGAGCAGCAAAGAGAAGGGAAACAACCATGGATTACAGTAAGGCGCACATTACAGTATTGTTTTATGTTAAAAAATCTGAGGGTTTAATGTGAGGAGTGAAAGTCTGAGAAATCATTCCAATTAACTGCATTTTTCAAAATACCAAAAAGAATAACTTACATGCAGAAAATGCAGATGATGCCATAAATGTTTTACAGAAATGAAAGAATTCAATCATTTTTTTCCTGTAAAACTTAGTAATTTATGCATGGCACTGAAAACAATACATGCCTGATTCTTTTATAATTTGGCCCCAATGTGCTTAAAATAATTGGCAGTACTTAATGTAATATTCACACAATCCCTATTGCCATACGGCTGCTTTCTTCTAATACTTTGCCTTGTTACTGGGAACAGACAGAAGCAGATCTCACAGATGATGTTAGGATCTGCCAGTCCTGAAACTGATTGCCAAACTCTGTTGCTCTTAATTCGTGTAGTATATGGCAGGGTGAAAATCGTTTCCTGTTCCCATTCTGAGACTTTGCTGTACACTTCATGCCAACGAGATTTTGATTTGCTCTTGTATGTGGCCAGCCCAAGATGAAAGTCTCCTAAATATGCATTAAAGCTGAACTCCTGTCTAAGCAAATATTATTTAAACTACTTGAATCTGGGAAGCTGAATTACTATAGGCAAATATGCCTTTTACTTTGCAAGGAAAATTATACTTTGCAGGGGAAATTTCCCCTTAGCTTAGTGAATGAGGTGAAGCTCTGCTGAGTTCTATCCAATCATGTGCAAGCAAATCTACTGAGTTTTTTTTTTTACATTTTTACCGTGTTTACCAAGCTAAGAAAATTTGCAAATTCTCTTGCAAAGTGAACAGCCTATATGCCTATAGTAAATCAACTCCACAGTATCTAGATCTGTGAAGTAATGCAGCATGGTACATCTCCTGCACTTTGCCTCTGCACAAAGACTGATCACTGCTGCTTTCTCTATGTGACTGGTCTTGTATCCACTCCCTTGTATTATTGGCAGGTAGCCTATAGTTTGTTGGAATTCTGTGTCCAACACATAGCTCTGCTCTCTGCACAGAGATAATGTCAACTTTACTTTTACAAAGTGATAAGTTGGTTTTGCAATATTTTAATTAAAGTCTTTGTGTCCAGAGTTCAACTTTAATCATACACTGAAATTGAATAGACCTTCTCCACAATGCTGTCCCCCACTTACAAAAAATCTGTGTCCCCCTCTGTTTTTCTATGTAACCAGTGGCCCTTATGGGACAGTTTGATGGTGGTCCTTTAAAGGAGAACTATGGGGTTAAGGCTTTTCCCCATAGTTCTCCTAAGGGTAACGGGAGGACACAAACTAGCGTCCTCCCGTCACCCTAAGCTTAGTAGGTATATTGCTCGCGGTATACGCTACAGCTCGCGGTATAATGACGCCACAGTATACCGCGAGCTACTGCTCGCGGTATACTGAGACGCCGCAGCTGAAGCAGATCCCGACAATTATGTCTGGATCCGCCCAGCTGCGTGAGTGACAGCTCTCTGTCCCTATCTAGAGGCAGAGCCAGCTGTACCCGCCCCTCCCCCGTCCGATCCCCCAGTTAGCGCTGGTGGATCGGAGCCGGGAGGGGAGAATCCAGCCCCTCCTCTGTCACGGCAGAGAGCTGTGACAGGATCGAGAGGTGAGCGAATGCCGGTATGTGTTTGCTCACTTCTCGATCTACTGAGCCGACATGTGGCAATCTCATTGTCGCAGGTTGGCTAGAACTATGAGGCGAGTGAAAAGCACTCACCTCATAGTTCTCCTTTAATCACTAATTTATTTATTATGTAAACCCATATAAGTTGCTACATTTCCACTGAATATGACTTTATATATTATACATAACTACTGTGCTGGCTGGAAAGTCATGTTGATCAATGGTACTTTCACACAGCTCAGAAATATCCCAAAAGCAAGTGTTATTTCTGTAGACTTTTCATAAGTGCCTTGCTACATATGACACCACAACTGTTAAAAATAGAGCTCAGCAGACCCAGGTCATCCTGCAAAAGTGGAGCCGTCACCAGTAAAATGCCATCACTGATTGTTTCCAGTCAAGAAGCACATTAGCTATAAAGCAAGCCATAGTTATATAACTTTAGAACATGAACTGAAGTTGTGCACAGCGTACTCTCATTATTTTATTGAGACGGCGAGGAAAATTATTATGACAAAGTTCTATAATAAGCTGTATGAACACATAAAACATAATACCTGTCTATATGATATAACCACTGGAGATGATATAAGGTTAAATCTACACAGCTAAACACATGTACATATAGCATAAGAGGTGTAAGAAGGGTACAATAAAAATGATACTTCATAGCAAGGACATATTGGCCTAGGGTTTTCACCATAGCTAAAGTGACACTTAAAGTTAAATCTTAAAAATGTATTCAAGTACGCTAACAACAAAAATGTATCTTATTTGTGCATCACTTACGTGTAAATTATCTCTGAGCTGGTGCTGACACTGTCCTCCCTTCTGGAGGGGGGCTACTTTTGTTCCCTATGTGTTGTAAAGTAGCCACCACTCCAAGCTCACTCCTGTGATGGACTACAATCTCATGTTTAGTTTTCTAAATTGTATTGTGATGTAGTCCATTATGGGAGCGAGCTTAGAGTGGTGGCTACTTTACAACACACACAGGGACCATGGGGAAAAAAAGTAGTCACCCTCCAGAAGGAAGGACAGTGTCAGCACTCATGGTAAAAGTAGTTTGTGCCCAATACATATCAATGATAGAAATATACTTGCACATACTAGTTATTGGTGCTGAACATTTACATACCCAGTAGCAGGCAACAATATTATAAAGATGGAGGACATGACTTTTACTTTTAGACGTAAGGAAGAAAAAATACAGAAAAATTGGTTTTATTTCAAAGTTCTGAGGAACATAAGGATTTCCTACAATAGGCTTGCGGTGTTCATGAATGGTTGGGGTGATAGTTGTTTTTCTTTTTCCATGTTCTGTACCAGTTCCCTTTCTCTTCTTTTGGACCCAGCCCTCCTTCTTTATTCTAGTCTCCCCTACCTGATACCTTTTCTTCCTCCCTGCCTACATTTCTCACCCAGATATCTACACTAAGGTGCTATGGCCTCCCCTCCCCACTGTTATTTCTGTCCAAATTATTTCCAATATTCCCTCTGGGCTTTATGTGCTTTTATATGTTCTTTGGGATGATCTGTATGTCAGGGAAATATTGGTTGGTCGTATTATGTGGAGTAATATAGTTTGCTTTGTAGAACAGATTCAAAATATATTTCAATTTAGCTTCTTTTGTAAATTATTTGGCTTCATGGATCTGTAACTCTCCTCCTGTTACCAATAACATGTGTTTTTTTTTGTCAGACATTGGATGTTTTATATTGTACTTCTTGTGTGATGTATGATAAAAAAAAAATCATGTACCCAGTTTTTGGCTCCAATAGTTTTATGGTGACAAGAACATGAATGTGTTACTAGAAACTGAAGCATGTGTGCAACATGATGTTTCTCCTGGGTAGACATGTGCACTGCAGTCCATGCAGCCGTATTACACACACAATGCAATTTTGATTTACGAGAGGACACCTTACCATACCTCCTTACCCCCAATATTCTTTTCAAAAAACTTCTGTAATTAGCAGAAAGCTCATAGACATGAGTAACCTTCACGTCATGTAATACGTTGAAGTAAAATTAGAGAGCACACGGCCTGTGATTATGAAAGCCTACAGAATATCTTTATCCTGACTGTGCTTCTTTTTTTAAGTTATAGATAATGCGGAACACTGTTAAAACAGTGTTGACAGCTTTAAAATAAACACTTAACTTTTCCCAGAGCATGGACAGTCCAAAAATAACTTTACATATCATCATGTTCCACTCGTTGGCTTTTGTCTGAAGCTTAAAAAGAAACAGAGAAAGTACTGCTGATTTAACTGCAATATGAGATTTGTGGAGATTATTTGGTTTAGTTAGGAGAACATGCTCTCTGGATGACTATAAAATCCTTCTTTATATAGAAATAGCAATGTCCACAAATGGCTGTGAATTCAACTCATGTCATTCTTTCTTTCAGGCTCCTACACGAATTTGTACTCACTGGACACTGTACACCACAATCTACGGTTTTCCCATATGTATCTCTGAATGTGTATAGAGACTCTTGCCCACATCTGAAGGTCAAGACCACAATGGAGATGCTACGTCGCTCTTCTGTTTTTGCTGCAGAGGTGTTTGAGGTGTTTGACAGATCCCCCACTGATAAGGAGCTAGTAGCACAGGGGAAGGCATTGTGCAGAGACTTCATCCAGGCCCGACTCCAGCGTGCTGGTCTTGGATGGAACAAACCAGAACATGGGATCTCTTCTTCAGCAGGAGGACGTATGGCGGAGGTGTCAGCCACCTTCTTGAGGCTAGGTCAGTACTTTGTGTGTAAATGGGAAACCACACACATCAGCACATTCAACCTATATCTAGACCAGGACAGTATGTAACATGATCCATGTAATCAAATATAACTCTAAAACCATGTTGATGTGGGGAGCACCAAAGACAGCCAAGAAACACAGACAAACAAAGACACCACGGAAATTGTATAATGTAAATGCGTCCCACTCTTCTGTATAATATATCTAAACCTATATTTAAATCACATGCTAAAAGCACCAACCTCCTGTCATCTGACCCCTGGGGGATCACTTGTTATATCTGTTAATGCATATACATATGTTTATAACATGTATTTTAATAAGAGCGTGTCGTTTAATGTACATACAAAGCATGATAATTCATCAGATGCAGGTTTGGATACAATATGCAGAAGAGTGAAACAGTATTTTTTTTAAGTAGAACTGAAGCCCAATATTTTTTTAGATTTGGATAGAGTAAGGGAGGGTTATAACCCCTGTCAGCTTTTTTGCCATCTGTGTTCCATTAGAGAGATTTCCCTCCAATTCCTGTCCATTAGCCACAACAGGAAGTGAGAGGAAATCCCCCAAAAGAGAGGGAAATCCCTGGTGGTCAGCAGAATTGTTTCAAATGCCACTTGCACTCCATACGTTCTGACAACTTTAAAGTATCGGTGGTGCTCAAGGTGATCGCACGGATGGTGCCTTGCAGAAGAGGCCCTTGTCCCCATCAGCATGGGGAGACGGTGCTTTTTTCCGGGGGGGCTGGAAAAGCACCCTGCCAATGCCGAGGGCATGTGGCCTGGTATGGCGCAGGGAGAAAGGGTGCCCATCCCACCGCCCGCCCTGGCCTGCCAGGCCTGTGCTTGTATTAAGCGTCTGGTTGGGAATTTAAGGGGGACCCCACATTTCCCCCAATTTTTGGAGGTGGTGTTCCCCCTTAAAAAAACAGGCCTAAAGGGCCTGGTTTGACTTTTGGGGGGAACCCCACACACACATGCAAATTTAACTGGGGGCCCCTCCTAACATTCCTACCACACCTAAAGGGTGTGGTATGCATAGGGAGGGGGACCTTGTTCTGTTTTTTTTTTTTCATTTGTTTACATTTGCGGGGAGAACAATCTGCTTCAGCTGTGTTTTCCGAACGCATATGCTTTGGCTCAGCTGAGCACTTTGGCTGCCTTCAGCTGCTGTACGGGCTATTATGGGTACATGAAGTTGCCATGTTGAAAGCAGATATACTGTAAATATATATGAATTTCAGTTAATGTTCATAGAGAATCTGTGCTTGTCAGTGATGTGCCGCAATCTCTGCTTAGGCTTAGTGCTACAGCGAGAAGGGTTTGAATTTTACTGTTGATATTTCTCATGAAAGTTATTATTGCAATTATAGTTTTAGTCAGTGTTCAGTATTATGAAATAAATCTGTGGGCTCATCCTACCAGGTAAGATGGCCCCAGATCCATAGAGAAGATTCCAAAACTCAGGCTTTTTATTATAAAAATATTGTCAGCATATTGGCTGTTAGGACTTTTGCCTTGCAGCACTGGGTTTCTTGCCACACTCTAAAGACATGCTGGAAGGTTAATTGGCTGCTGTCTAAATTGGCTTTGTATGCATGTGAGATAAGGAACTTAGATTGTAAGCTCCTTGAGGGCAGGGACTGATGAATGTGCAGTATGTAAAGCGATGCTTAAATTGTCGGTGCTATGTAAATACCTACCGGTGGTCAATATATGGCCTATTCCCACTAATCAACACTTCCTGTTGGGCAGAAATTGGCCAATTTGAGCTCATTTGGTGGCTAATGGGAAGATGTGTGGAGCTAACCAATTACTGACTTCTGAGAGTTGTTGTCAATGATTACATAATGGATCACTTGGGTTTTGGGGACACCTAGGTGCTGTTAAGATAAAGCAAACATAGGGGAAGGGTACATGAACAACCCTAAAGGGTATGGTAAGCTCCCAGTTTCACTTTAAAGAGTTTCATATTTTCATTAACAGAAAGGGAAAATCTGCAGATTTGTTTGATCTCACTTTGGAACTGTGACTGGAGATACATCAAAATTTGAGCAGCTCAGATTTCTAAGAAGGGCTTGAAACTGCTCTGATGCCATTCTAAAACAGTTTTACTTATGCAGATGGAAAAGCCCTAAAAGCAGGTAAGTCAGTGTTGCCTGTCAAGTCCACTTTAAACATGGCACATGCAAAAACCAGGACATGTACTATGTGATTGGAAATATTCTGAGAAAAACCAACCATTCTTTCTGGTGATATAACAGATGTACAATATATTTCCACTAATTCCTTATCATAAGAATGCCTTATTTCATAGTCTATTTCCTGTAGCATATGTCCAAATTGTCCTGGGAAAGCCCAGGCACAAGGGAATATTAAATGTATCTGCATTACTCTTTGTATTCTAGTCATATTTTCCTGTTTCCACAAGTGACCATGTAATTGTCTTTTGCTTATGCAAGTAAAAAAAAAAAAAAAAAGATACTCAAATGCTTTAAAAGAAAAAAATCCAATTGTAACTTTCCCGTTTTCTGATTCAGTTCTCATGAACTAGAAATCAGAAATGGTATCACACTTAAAACTACATAAAGCAATGAATGCCATTCAAGTCACAGTGTTTTCCTCCAGGCTTAGTAAGGGGGATGAGAGGGAACATTTCAATGCACCAGTTATACTGGGTCATATAAATGGTTCTATCCCTTATCTATATTGTTCCTCAATAAGTCTGTTGGTTATCAGGTTGTCTGTTATGCTTCATAAAAAAATGTAAAAGTTTCCTGATTGCTATGGGGAACTGCATATACACCTGTGTCTACAGAATGCTTTTCAAACATCTCTCAATTTACATGCATACTGAGCATCCTTGGCCACCATTTGTTTATCAAACTAAATGATGACCCTGGATTCATTTTCTTAGGTTCTGTTATGCCATATGTCATTCTTCCTTATAGATTTTTAGTGGGAATGCTGTATCAGGAATGGCAAAACAATAGCAAACTGACAGTTGAGGTACCAGAAAATGGCGCATGGACATATAGGACAATGGAATAAGATGGGTAAAACTACTAGTCACTAGGCTCACTTTCCCTGCCCTCCCTTCAGATTTATTTTGCATATCTCCCAAGTGTCTCATCTGGAGGGACTGTCCCTCATATGGAATCAAATGCCTCTTTCCTCCTCTGTTGTGCCTCTTTTTGATTTGATGTATATAATAAGGTTTTATTTACTAAAAGTGTTATAATGCATTAAAACCTTCATCTTATCTTTTAATTATGTTGTTTGCTATTTCGAAAATCCAGTATAAATTAATGGTGGGAAAAAAAACAATACTGGGTTTAATCAATCAATTTTGGCATATACACTGCCTGTCCAAAGAAAAGTCACACACGCTAACATTTAGTTGGATCGCCTTTAGCTTTGATTTCGGCATGCATTTGCCATGATCTTGTAGTGATGATGGGAGAGTCAGACCAGTGTGTAAAGTCTTCTCCAGCACATCCCAAAGACTCTCAATGGGGTTAAGGTCTGGATTCTGTGGTGGCCAATCCATGTGTGAAAATGATGTCTCATTCTCCCTGAACGACTCTTTCACAATCTGAGCCCGTTGAATCCTGGCCTTGTCATCTTGGAATATGTCCGTGCCATCAGGGAAGAAAAAATCCATTGCTGAAACCTGGTCATACTGTATATTCAGGAAGTCAGCCGACCTAATTTTTTCGCCACATAAAATTGCTGAACCTAGACCTATTATCCAATGGAAGGCTCTTATCTATTTGCTTAGCTAAATCCAGGTGGTGCCTTTTTTGGTACATTGCATGGAAGGTGTCTCTCTTTCTCATCTCATAAAGTCGGCGGGTATGTTACTGAACGTTGGAGATGCGTTCTGAGACATAAAAACCAATTGCATATTAACACATTAATACAGTTGCACAGGGTATAAATACAATGGTCAATAGAACAGCTGTGGGAACTGGTGCAGTTAAAAGATAATATATAACATTGAGTGACAAGCGGTTTGTTTGCCAACAGCTGTCAGGATGGTGATAAGTGTGCAGGACGTGAGAAATGACTTTTACAGAGCCCCTTCAAGGTTGGAAGGAAGCCTTCACATATTCTAACATGGTTTGCTGTTCCTGGATCAAGTCACAGGCACTAGAATTGATTGGCACATGATAAATAGAAAGGTTTATTTAATAAAATGATTTATGTGAAAGTCTGCTGCAAAACTGAGAAGGAATCTTATACATATTTTAATACAATGATCATTTATACAGTGGAGATAAGATAAATGGGGCTTCTGCTTCTTTTTCTATTTAGCTCATAATAGGAACACTCTGAATTTACTTAAAAAGTAATTCCATGAAAAATGTTTCTAGTTTTGGATGGGGTGGGAAAAGGTTCATATCTCTGGCGTAATGAGCATTTTTTGCTTCTGAGATCACTTTGTTCTAGTCAGAAGAATATAAGAGTATTGTATTTCTTAAAGCTAAACTCCGTGATTAGCAAATACTGTCTAAATACAAGAATCTTCCTTGCATCTTGGTGTGCTTTGTATATTTCTATCAGATACTGTATGTGCAGTAATTCAAAGTTAAACTTTGCCTCTGTGCAAGAACTTCCTGTAATAAAGACTGGTCATTGCTGATCTCTCTCCTTGTGCAGGGTGACTGGTCTTGTATCCACCCCCTCTTGTAGTTTTCTGCTGGCAGCCTGTAGTAGGTGGGGCCTGCTGGGTCCCTCCCACAGCTCTACTACATGCACAGGCTATGTACAGCACATTGATGATGTCACTGCTATTTTTCATAAGTTAGTGGATTTGCAAAGGCATTTTGTGGGCACAACATTTATATCCTCTGAGGTTACTGGATTTATATCATCTGAGGTTACTGATATTTATCTATTTATTGATATCTAAAATAATTTTTTTGTGCCCAGATTTAAACTTTAGTGAATTAATCGAACATGCAATTGTTGAATAGTTGGTAAATATTGTTCATGTGAGATGTACGTAATGAGCAATGTCTGCTTCTGAGCTAATATTTGCTTAAACATTACATTTTTTGTGGATTTTAGTGTACCATTTTGTAAAAACATTGCATTATAATAGTCCTGCATTTTCTAAGTTAAAACAATTGAAACTGGACCCTGGTCTGCTTTTTATTGCTTTCTATATTCCCACTGGGGAAATGTCTCCTCATTTCTTTCTTAAAGGCACAACAGGAAATCTACCTAAAGTGAGGCGTAATGCCAACTTTGCCAGCTGTCACCAAACAGATCCATGCACTGGAAGTTTTCCCTTGTACTCCTCTTCCAGTGACAACCCTAAAATGTTTAATCCCCTCTAACTTTCTATCTTAGTGACAGCAGTCATCAGGACAGAAAGCAAGAGACAGTTTTGCCAATGGGGCCACAGACAGGGATGACAATTTGACTGAGGTTCTAACTCAACAACAAAAGAGCAGTAATGGTATGCAACATTGCGGCAACTCATATTCCAGTGTTTTGACAGGTTGTATGTTGTATAAGATAAATTACCTTTTGTTTTGCATGGTCATGCGAGGAATTCATACTGATACCAGTCTCAGCTTAAAATCAATTCCTAAAGTTTATTAACTAGTGCACTACTTTATACGCTTTGTAATTATCATAAATCTGACTGTGCATGCACCTAAAGCTTATCTACAAAATGATTTTCAGAGGCTGGTACGTGTATACAGTTTTGTTTCTTTAGAAAGAAAGTCAAAAGAGAAAGGCAAAAAGGCAAAGAAAGAAAGGACAATTTCATGTATATACATTCTTTCACACCGGACAGTGGTTCTTCTGGGTTTTTGTGCTGTGTACAGTGCTGTTGCCTTATTGAACATTCAACATGATTTGCTGAGTAGACAATAGCCGTATATCTAACAACCATAACAAGTGCAAATAGTAGTTTACCATTACAGCCTATCAGGTGTTACATCCTATGTCAGGCGGCAGTTTCTAAAGCAAGCATTCTTGTATTGAAAGGGGTATAGACTCCAGAGAGAGAGACATAATCCTGCCCCTGTACAAAGCATTAGTAAAACCTCATCTGGAATATGCAGTTCAGTTTTGGGCACCAGTTCACGGGAGATGATGTTGTGGAACTGGAGAGAGTGCAGAGAAGGGCAAATAAATGTATAAGAGGCATGGAGGAGCTCAGCTATGAGGAAAGATTAGCTGCACTGAATTTGTTCTCTCTGGAGAAGAGGCGATTAAGGGGGGACATGAGTAACCATGTATAAATACATAAATGGTCCATATAGTGAGCTTGGCGCCACTTTATTCACTTATTAACTTTAAGGTCATTGCAAAGGACAAGAGGGCACTCTGAAGAAAAAGAGGTCTAGCCTTTGCATATGGAAATGGTTTGTGATAGTAAGAGCTGTGAAAATATGGAAAAGGCTTCCTCAGCAACTAGTTCTAGCCTGCTCAGCTAACTGTTTAAAGATGTTATTCTAAATATGCAGAACATAACTAGATATTAACATTTCATAAGTAAAAAAAACACCATGGATTGTTAATCCAGGGAATATCTCATTGCTTTATGGAACCAGGAAGGATTTTTTTTTCAAAATTGGACCATGCTTTATAGCAGGGGTGGGCAACTCCAGCCCTCCAACTGTTGTTAAATTACGAGTCCTACTACTACTGCGTATTGCAAGTGTAGCGCCCTCTCCTATGTCTCTACTAAATTTGTTTTTTAAGCTGGACTGTAATCAGTCTGGATGCTGATTTCTCTGGGTTCTATAGGTTTCCCTGAGTCTAGTGGATTGATTGTTTCCCCCTGTTGCTGGGTTGGGGCCTCAGCATATAGCGTGGGAGGATCCATCCTCAGACTGTGATTATGCATCTGACTCTGATCAATCCCTGAGCAGGCTGACTCAGAGGTATGGCTGAAGGAAGGTGATAACATGTTTGGGCACTCCTTCCAGAACTCTCTCCCCTGGGGCTCTCCCTGGGAGGAGGTCTGTGTGCCACAGGATGTCGTGTCTAGGCCTCAGCATGCGGCAGATGCTGGCGGCCCAGAGACCTAAACCGCTACTGAAATGAAGCCTGATGGAAGCTGGGCTGGAAGTGGGATCTGCTTATGGAAGAGTGTCGCAGAGGAGCTGGTGAGAGCTGCCATCTGGACCCTGTAAGAGATCCCTAACCCTAATCTCAGGTACTATACAGAAGAGAAGCCAGTTGGTGCACTACAAGTCCTGTGACAGTTCTCTCTCAAAGTCCTGCATGATTTCTGGTTGTTCTCTGGTGCTACTACATATTACTGGACGCTCATATAGGACCTTGTGCTACTGTTACAAGCTGTTGCTAAGAAAGAATACACAATCCTCTATTTTTGATTACTTGGGTATCCGAGGATCAGAACCTCCTGAGGAAGCCTTAATTAGGCGAAACATGTTGAGGCACTTAAAGAAAACACTTCTCATCTACTCAACTGTTCATGACTAACTAGAACACTCTAATATAATATGCCATTACTTGGATGATATACACCAATATGCCAAGCCTTGTATTCTTGTACAATTTATATTGCTTTTAAATATTTTGTATACAATAAATATTTTATATACAAATTTCATTGTGAGAGCAATATAATTTCTAAAAAGCCCCCCTTTTCAGATTTTTGAACATCTGGATATGGTTTGGTTACTTTGAGATTTTCTACATTTGTATTTCTGGGGTGTGAAACCTTGTTCTCTCTTTACCCTAGCGTGCACCCAAAAGTGTTCTATATGTAACTATATACCATCTTATGTCCTAAACTATCATCGTATTCGGTCATATTTTCATTTTAGGTACAATATTCAATATAAATTCAAAGGTAAATATTAGTGATGCACCGATACAAGTATCTGTATTGGTGCCGATACCGAGTATTTGGGCTAGTACTTGTACTTGCCCAAATCCTCCGATACTCACACCCAATACTGGAACTTCCAGTCAGAGGGAGATTTCCTCTGACCAGCAGTGCTGCGAGAGAACATGGAGCCGCATTCCCGGCCAATCAAGAAGCTGGGCGGCGAGTCATTACTCGCCGCCAGCTTCCCGATTAGCTGGGAAGCCAGCTCCATGCTGTTTGGCCAGCTCCATGCTGATTGGCCAAAGCCGGCTCCATGCTAGTGGGAGTACCGGTAATGGTACTTAGTATCGGCAAGTACCAAGAGATAAATATCGGAACTCGGACTTGATACCGAAAGAACGGTATCGGTGCATCTCTCGTAAATGTCTGGTAAAATGTCCACATTATGTACTAAGTGATGTAGTATTGAGCTTCATTGTATCTACAATATGATAGTCCACTCTAATATATCACACACAATTCATGATGAACAAGCATATCCAATTCAATTATATTATGGCTTTGTATATTTTTGTATATCTTTGTTTCCTCCTAAATGAACCTGATTTCCCTTCCTCTGAGATGTCAGTGTTAACATTGCTTTTCCTGATATTGCTGCATTGCAGGGGATGAGCTGGAGTACATGAGACCAGCCGTATACAGGAACATTGCCCGACAGCTGAACATCTCCCTCACATCAGAGACCGTTCTGTCTGACGCTTTCCTGGCGGTTGCTGCAGAGATATTCTCAGCAGGTATTACAAAGTATACAGTCATTTAGTCTTTTATATACAGGGCAGGCAGCTGATGTATATGTGAACAGCATACAAATGAAACTAAGTGAATATAAACACATTCATAAAGTAACGGCAAGCTATTGTAGAACCCTTACATCCTCTATGTCACCAAGTCATAAAATAGACTGCAGAGCTTGTCCTCTTTTAAGCTCAAGTAAGACTTCACCCTTCTAGATTGTTTTTGGTTGTCTGTGTTGTCAATGCTTTCCAGTTCTCAATATGCATAAGCAGCACTGTGGTAGACGGAGAGGGGGGTGGGAAGGGGTGATGCTGGTGGTGCATGCAATCAGAGCAGGAGGAGGTGGGTAGAGGAGAAAGCGCCGCCAGACACGAGAGTGATGCTGCTCTCTGCAGCCTCTGCATCTCCCCACCCAGCTCTTAGCAACCTGGGACACTCTAGCTGATGTCCTACCCTACTACTGCCAACCAGTAACATTATTACTTGCCAGAAGTTGGGCAGGACACTGGCCAGAGCATCCAAAGTTGCTAAGAGCTGGGCGGGTAGATGTGTATGGCCTTTACACATCTCCCCACCCAGCACTTAGCAACCTGGGACGCTCTGGCTGGAAAAGGGGCAGCAGGCATACTGCAAACATTGCAGTGCTACTCTGCCTACTGCCCTCCCATTTGACCCAAAGAGATGCCTGCCTCATTATAGGGACGGCCCTGTACACAAGGCTTAAAGGCCAATTCAGGGCTTGCATCTTTCTTGTCTCTTTATAGTCCTGCATCCTTAAAATACCCTTTTCTGTAAGTGAAAATGCAGCTCGCACACTGCAGTGCACTGTGCTGACATAGCTGAGTAACAGCCACACCCCTCTTTACAAGTGTCATCACACAGACTTGTATTATGGAGAAAAAGAAGGTGTGTGTCTAACCAGGTCTGTTACTGAGCGATGGTTCCTGAGTGTGCTGGGTCTAACTCTGGTGCTTATTGGACTACTTGGCCACATTTAGACATCGAGCACAACTGCAATAACAAGAAAGTAAAGGTAAGACAAATAGAGGACGTCAGTAAAACTCTATCTGACTGAATATTTAATTCTTTGACTTTAGTTTGGCTTTGTACATAAAATCTGTCACCAGCAATAAATAGCTTGCTCTCGTATACGTTCACTCATCAGAAAAAGAGAGGTTTGTTTAATAGTTTTCCCTTTAATTAGAAACAGCGTTGTGGGAACCTGACCATGTGATTAGTTTCATGTCAGCTCATGTAATAGGTACAGGCAGTAGTACACATAATTGCCTCATGAATTCTGTTATCAAGGAATGTGATCTGCAGTACAAGCACGGCCGCAAGCTACAGAGTCCTTGCTTATGACATTCAGGGGACATAGTATGTAAAGATATCCCTTAGTTCCCTCAGCAGCAGAGGTAACTTCTTGTGCCCAAACAGGAGTCCCCCCCCCAAGTGTATAGGAAGTGTGCACACAGGAAGTGATGTCTGCAGAGGCTCGCATCATATCCATCACTTCAGAAATGTGCATTAACCCCCTGCTATATATTTCCCATCACTGTACATTCATTATTGTGAACAATAATGCTACTATAATTTAATGATAATATCATTATAATTAACGGATGTATGTTAACATTTTTACTAAACATTTTCCAGCCAGTGTATATTATAGCGTCACTGTATTCCTTCCATTCAATGTACATTGACCCTTTAATGTGAAACCACCAGTCAGTACAAATTCATTTTTTACTGTGTCCCTCTCATTTAATGTGCCCCCCCACCCCCCCATGTAAACCTCCAAAACCGCCAATATATGTCCATACAAAAAATATGCGGCTTTAAATATAGTATTGTAGAACAATCGCTGATCAATGCAAGTTGCTAGGACTTTACAACTGCTTTAATAACGAAACAAAAAGGAAGTGGAGTGTTTATTTACTGCAAAATGTAAAGCATCTAAAATGGACTGTCACTGTATATTCTTTGCATATATTTTCGCCTAGATTTTGGTTTTATATAGACGTCAATTATTTTTAAAGAGTTGAGATAGTATTAATTAGGGATGCACCGAAATTTCGGCCACCTAAACATTTTGGCTGAAATTGGTACTTTTGGGTAAAATACCGAAAGTACAATAACGGCCGAAAATGCAGCTGAAAATTCAGTGCATCTCTAGGCTTCTCTCCGTCCCGCTGGACGCCAGTCTGTCCCCTCTGATGCCCGCTCTATCCCCCACTTGTGTCGGCAGCGGGAATCCAAGGGAAGTCCAGCAGGGAGGAGAGAAGCTTTCAGGAGGCTGAGCGGGGAGGTGCGGCAAGCAGACAGCTCAGGATGGCGAGCGAAGTGGTGCGGGGAGTAGTCAACTGTCAGCTGTCAGAGGAGGCCGAGCTCTCCTCCCGCACTGCCACGCTCAGCCTCCTGTGACAACAAGTCTGGATGGAGAGCGGAGGAGTCAGGATGAAGAGCGGGTTACAAGTGCTCAGCGTTCAATACTGATCACTGAGTGTTTATAAATAACTGAGGACATAGTATGCTTACTGTGTCCCCAGTTATGAATCAACAGGAAGTGCTCTACATCACTTACTCATACTCACACTATATCCACAGTTTATGAATGGACAGGAACACTCACTATAGAGGCTTCCTGTTCATTTATAACAGGGGCTGCAGAAAAAGAGACTCTGTGTCCTCAATCTCTTTTTCTATTTTTAAAGGGAAATATCAGGGATCTGTTTAGAACTGATCTGATATTTCCCCAGAGCCCCCGACAGTAAAGTAAAAGAAATGTAAATAAAAATAAAATAATTAAAAAATAATTTAAGAAAATATAAAAAGGTTGGGTAAAAAAAGCGTTATTTTCAGTTTCGGTCTAAAATTTCCATTTCAGCGCATTCCTAGTATTAATATTCTGTGTATCTTATATTGTGTCTTCATGTGTAACTTTAAAGGATGCTGTTCAGAAAGAAATAAGGAGGCTGCCATTGCTGGCCTTCATCTGGAAATGCTGGTTGTTTGTCTGTCTCCGGCTTTAGTACTTTGAGGCGATAGTATGAAACAAGCATGGAGATCTGGAGAATAGTGATATTCAGTCTAGTCAGCGACTAGAAAAGTACTAAATCCATTGGATGACCATAATAGCCAGGCAAGCAGTATTTTTACAAAAAGAACAGCAGCCTCCATAGTTCCACACTACAAGTGTTTGTTTCAGCTGTAGCATTTGTACTGATTATATGAAATACTTCTCTCCTGCCTCTGCAGGTATCACATGGGGGAAAGTTGTATCCCTATATGCTGTAGCAGCAGGCCTTGCCATGGACTGTGTGAAGCAATCTCAGCCCGCACTTGTGCTGACCATCGTGGACTGTGTGGGAGAGTTTGTACGAACAACCCTGGTCACGTGGCTGAAGAGGAGAGGAGGATGGGTAAATTACATTTTTTGTAATTAAATAACAAATTTCTAAAACTCTTCTGCTACAAAGCAAATTGTCTGCGTGAGAAAGGTCTGATGGAAGCAGCCAAAATCATGTGCTAGTTCTAAAACTGTAGAGCTAAACCTAGTCCATGTCTTCAACTAGTATACACATAATTCAGAGAATGTCGGCTTCCATCAGAGCCTTTGTTGGGGCTAACGCCAAGTAAGGCAGCAACGCGTCAGGAGTTGTCTTTGTATAGATGCATGTGGAATAAAGTTTGATTTTCTCTGGAAGATCATCGCATGGTGGTTGTACAGTGTTTGTAAACTGACATGTGTCCGTTTACATCAGATTACCCCGGATCTGGCATGACCCAGTTCGGCAGAAGGGATCTTTGATCCATTTGTTTTTCTGGACCTGCCTGGAGTCGGGGGTAACCGGATGTAAACGGACCGTAAGCTAGTCCGTTTACCCACAACTGACCAAAGACTTACATTGGCCATCCGATCGGGTCTGCCTAACTATTAACAAAAATGTATCTTGTTTGTGCATTACTCAGCTGTAGATCCTCAAATCATCTCTGAATTGGTGCTGACACTGTCCTTCCTTCTGGAGAGGGGCTACTTTTGTTCCCCATGAACCCTGTGTGTGTTGTAAAGTAGTCACCACTCCAAGCTCGCTCGTGTGGTTCGACCAGCTGCACATACTTATTGTCCCTGCACACCCAAACTACTCCCTTTGGCCAGGAGCAAAGACAGGAAGCTCTGCGTAAACTTGTTAAGTTGCTAAGAGACTGACAACCATCTCACATCTATTGGAACATTAAAGTAAACCATGTAATTGTTCTTGCTATCCCATCCTGTGAGGCTAGATGTGCATAGTGAGTGTTGTGAGCTCTTTATTGCCCTCTCTGGGATGATGGAAGCTGAAGTGAAAGTAAGTTAGAGGGACCTTACACAGAGGTTCACATCTGGTACCTACAGATTGCTAGAGAGCTGTGACAGGAGAGAAGAAGCAATAACAGCATACAAGAGCCTCAATATACAGGTAGCATTGGGTGGGAAAGTAAGAGAAATGGCATGGATTACTAGTTCCTTATGGACAGTTGGTTGCTTCATCCTGAGATACTGCCGCCTGCAGAAGAAATGGACACTGACAACAAAAAAAGTAATTAGCTAGCACAGAATTATCCTGCCCACAACCATCATGCCTCAGTTTTGTAGCAAAACAGTACTGAAAGCATGGAAGAACCACTGAAGAGTGGAGGGGCCTGTGTCACTCAATGGATTCCAAGAAAAGGATTTTACTGTGAGTATAAACATCCTATTTTCTTTATCTTCCATTTGAGGGACACAGGAACTGTTGGGTCGTCCAAAAGCAGTCCAACAGAGGGATGTGCAACACAGCAAGAAAGGCTACTAGGCCCAAGAAAATTATAGCAGAAAACTGGGGACTGCCTACAGCTCAAAGAGCTGCATGAAGGACCTAATGCCCCGAGCTAGCATCAGGTGAGGCCTGAATATCCACCTGGTAAAACATAAGAAAGAAGAATAGAATACCAGTTGGTAACCTTGCAAACTGGTAAAGGTTTCATGCCAAAATGATCAAGAAGGACTCACAGATCTAGTGAAATGCACCTTTATAGCACAGGGTGGAACATGATCCTTAAGACCAAAAGTTTGGGTGATGGTCTGCCTGAGCCACCTAGAGATGGTGAACAGAGAAGTTGGTGTACCCTTGCCGGGTCCATCCAGAATACAAAAGAAATCAGTCCTCCTAAAGAAGCAGTTGCTGAGAGACTATCAATGACCGAACCACATCCAGACAATGAAGGGAATTTTCTTTTTGTAAAACAATTTTTTCACTCAAAAAAGAAATCCAAACTTTACCAGTCATACTGTTAACGGGGAGAGAGATTCGGATACCACACTAGACTCCCAGTACAAAGGTCTAAATCAAGGAGTGAAAGAGCAACAGTCAAGATAGTCCTGAATCCTGATAGACGTGCCTGGAAGTGTTGAGACACCACAGATGTCAGCTAGTGAAAAATAGGAAAAAATGCCCTCAAACATTTTGAATGAAAGTGGATTGGGTTACCCTACCCTACTGACCAGCCTGATGCTTCAAACCCTTAGATTTAGCTCAGCCCTTAAACAGGAAATGCTGCCTAGTTTTAGCGGGCACTTACCTTATATGTAGTTATAAGTTCTGTCCTTGGTTTCTTATCACTATACAGTGAAGGTTCTTTTTCCTCTTTATATTACTATACAACTGTTTTAATATTCTGGGGGTCATATACCTGTGCCTATACTAAACTGCTTTGTCTGTTTAATGACACTTCATTTCAAATCAAATTTCTCCACTATAACTAGTACTCTGTTATGCATGTGTTTACCTAAGGTCTTAATTATTAACATTAAACAGGCATCAAGGATATCTAGTTGCTCTGGGAAGGCTGCAATGTTCTGTAACCAGACTGTATAGCTGTCTTTCTATTAATTTTCTTAAGACTTAAGCTTATGGAAAACAGCATCAGACCATATTTTATTAATGAACTCAGAGTTCAGATATCTCTTAAGCCGGATTAAAGGGAATGTGACGCAGTTTAAATACCAGGAATTCACTTGTAAAACAATTCCGCTCTCTGGTTTTCTTTCTTGATAATGTTAAGATTACTTGGCTTCTTTTCCTGGAGTACAGTCATGGTGGGATCAGTGTAAACAGCCCCAAGCTAGCCACAATAACTCTTTTACATGGAAAATAAATACATTCCCGGTTGGATCAATTTATACCTTTACTCAGTCAGTTACAATTTATACATTTACACAGAGTTGATCAGATGGACGAGCATCAAAGCTGCCAGTTGGATGTACCCTGAGTTATAAAATTGCTGAAGGTTAAAAGCTAGTGAAGGAAGAGGAGCACAGCATACTATAGAAAAATAAAATCCACAGAGGGGCTGGGAGTGCGCAGGGGTCTCGGGGCATTTTCACGAGTACTCATACTGCCCTGATACTAAATGCAGATACAGGCTTTTTACATTTTTAAACTGAAGCCTGTGCTGTAAACTGGTGCCGGTTCACAGGAAGGCTGCCGAGCTCCCCAGCAGCCTTCCTGTGAAACACAGCAGCCTTCCTTTGAACCTCAGCAGCCTTCCTGTGAACCACGGCACACATCTTCTCTGCTTTCCTGAAACCACGCCACCTACACCCGCCCATGAGACCAACCGGACCCCTGGTGAAACCCTGCACAGATCACCATAGACCCCGCACAGCCCACTATAGACCCCGCCCAGCCTCCTGAGACCCTGCACAGCCACCTAAGACCCCAGCATAGCCTTCTGAGACCCGCACAGCTTCCTAAGACCCCACACAGCCTCCTGACACACCGCACAGCCATCTGAGACCCCGCACATCCATCAGAGTCCCTGCACAGTCACCTAAGACCCACACAGCCCTCCTAGGGCCCTGCACAGCCTCCTGAGACCCCGCACATCCATCAGAGTCCCCGCACAGCCCTCCTAAGACCCCACACAGCCTCCTGAGACCCCACACAGCTTCCCTGAGAAACCGCACAGCCCTGCTGAGATCCTCCTCTGGAGACATCAGGTTAGCACCCTGGAGCAGCACAGAGCATGTAGCTTTATATTATTTTGCATTGATGTATAATGCATTGCTGAGATTTGTAGTTCTCTAGCTGGTGGTATTCTACATTGCTGTATAATGTATCACAGGGATTTGTAACCCTCTATAGCTGGTGGTATTATTCCGCATTGCTGCATAATGTATTGCTGAGATTTGTAGTCCTCTATAGCTGGTGCCCGTCTGCATTGCTGTATAATGTATTGCTGAGATTTGTAATCCTCTATAGCTGGTGCCCGTCTGCATTGCTGTATAATGTATTGCTGAGATTTGTAGTCCTCTATAGCTGGTGCCCTTCTGCATTGCTGTATAATGTATTGCTGAGATTTGTAGTGGGGGGGCGCTACAGGCTCCTGAGAAGTAAATCTCGCCCTGTGGGACCCAGTGAGTGTTGCACAAGTGGCGGAAACATTAAAGTGACACTAAACTCAGAAGTTAAATCTTAAAAATGCATGGAAGTTTCCTAAGTATTAACAAAAATGTATCTAATTTGTGTATCACTGAGCTGTAATACTTAGGAAACTTCCATGCATTTTTAAGATTTAACTTCTATTTTACAACAATGCAGAATAATACCATCAGCTAGAGAGGACAACAAAGTTCACGTCACCCCTCTCTCTGCTTTGTTTTTGATGTAAGGTTATAATTGTGCATTTGTAGCTACTATATTTTACTATTCAAGGAGCTGGCTACACTATGCTGTTGCACTCTTCTCCCTTCACTTTCTTTTAGATGGCGAACCTCCTCTCTGTTCTGATCTAGAAGGTGAAAATTAGAGCAACTATTGCATACAAACAGAGTACTGGTTGGGTACTGGATTAAAATGGACCAGGCATATGATACGTTAATTAGATGCTTGCTAAGCAATGTGTAGTACTTATAGATGTTTATTACCTTTCACAGAGATCACAGTACGTCATAAGGACCAGTCACCTGGCCATATTTGTTCAGTCATCATCCAGGGTCAGCATGTTATCTTGAGATGCTGGCTCAGAGATGACACAGTAATGTAAATTCTGGTGCCTGTACAATTCTTGGCTGTGTTCACATATGTCTAATAATGTTTCCTGCTGCCTGCAGCACACGGACACCATCATCCCAGCCTGAGTTTTCCTCTTTCAATTAATTTTTATCGAACATTTTAAAGAACATTTCAAAGAAAACTTGTAGGTTACAGAAATTCACCCAAGTGTATATTCCACAGCAATTTAGATGAGTTAGAAGACATGCATCCAGGGCCGGATTTACTTTCTCTGCTGCCCCAAGGCCAGGTTTCTCATTGCGCCCCCCTCCCCGGTTGGTTTTAATTTGTTTGTATTTTTTTTTTTTTTTGGTTTCAATTTGTTTGTAATCCATTGATTCTCAGCCTATGTTTTTGATGATAAAAGGTGGAGCTTTTTGATAAATATACTGTTGCCGTATGTTGTGCCTGCCTGGTCTGTGAACAACTCTCTTTTTACTGTATATACAGCTAAGCTTTAAGTCTGATTGCTGGCAGGATTCAATCTAAATGCATTTCTTGATTTTTGATTTGCAGACAGATGTAACAAAGTGTGTGGTCACTTCTGAATCCAGCCTCCGATCCCACTGGTTGGTGTCCAGCGCCTACAACTTAGGACACTTCTTAAAGGCGGTGATATTTTTTCTGCTTCGTGAACGATAACCTTCTGTGGCAGCTGCATGTCCGTAAGAAAAACAATTGGAAGTATCAGTGAGAAGTCACTAGGCAGACATTGCTTTCCTTCATTTCCTGTTGCTGGGACCAAGTTTTGCAGTGAACTCTCATAACAACATGAACTTGATTTGGCCCAGATTCTATTTTATAAATGAAGATCAACCCATACTGGGCCATTTCCCTCGTCTCCAGCACATCAGAGACTTTCCTGCAGTCAGGCTGAGCGTACAGTTTCCTCTGATTCAGTTGGGATCTTTTATGAATCACCAGACGGCGCTGTGGTTAGACCAGATGTTTCTAGACTGCAACAGGTATAAATGGAGTTGAGTTAGTGTTAGATACAGACAGTATTAACATAGCACATACCGGGAAACTTAACTTCTGTTACATTTTTTTATATAGATGTGCATTAACATCAGTAGAGGGAGCCTGCCTTACATACCTGTCAACTTGCAATGGCATAAAAAAATGGCAACTGCAAATAGACACATCATACGTACATGGCTATTATGGCTATAACCAGTTTGGTTGGAAAGTAGTTCACTGAGATCAGCTTCTTATAAGTTTTAGAAATAAGAAAGGCAAAACAAAAACCCTGTGGGGCAACTGTGCCAAAGTTCCCCTTACAATGAAAAAAAGTTACTCAGCTTGTTTACAAAGCTGTCAGATAAAGTCCTTGGGTCAAAAAATACCACACGGTCCTCTATAGCTACACCAACCAGTCATATCATTATGACCATTGAAAGGTGACATAAATAACAATGATTTTCTTGTAACAATGGCGCCTGGAAGTGGGTGGGATATATTAGGCAGAAAATGAACATTTTGTCCCTGAAGGATTTGAGCGACTTTAAGGAGGGCCAAATTGTGATGGCTGGATGACTGAGTCAGAGCAACTCCAAAACTGCAGCTCTTGTGGGAAGTTTCTAGTCTGCAGTGGTAAAAAGCTACTAAAAGTGGTCCAAGCAAGGAAAACTGGTGAATTGGTAAAAGGGTCATTCATGCACGTGGGGAGCAAAGGAGGTCCCACCTCGCAACTAACAGGACTCAAAGGATCTACTACTGACGGCCTGGTGCCAGATACCACAGCATACCTTCAGACGTCTAGTGGAGTCCATACCTAAATGGGTCAGAGCCATTTTGGCAGGCAATGGGGGACCTACTCAATATAAGGCGAGTGGCCATAATGTTATGGATGATTAGTGTATAACTGTGCAAACAATAAGAAAATTATGCAGTTCATTTTGAAATTCTGTTTTTGCCATTTCTACCTCATATAACATGGCATTCCATAGCTTAGCATTAAAGGAGAACTATGAGGTGAGTGCTTTTCACTCATCCTCATAGTTCTAGCCGACCTGTGAAAATGAAACTGTCACAGGTCGGCTCAGTAGATCGGGTCACTTCTTGTACTGGTGATAAAATCCCCAGCCCTTCATACAGAACCAATGTGCTCTTATTGTTTCTACAGTCCTTGGATACAGTTATGCATATTGAATAGATCAAATCGTAAGTTGTTTGTTCTCCAGATGAAATGAGCCAAGTTTTTTTTAACATTCCACTTTACATTAAAGGACATACTGCTATTTTGTTGCAATGTGGAAAACATGTTGGGAATTGTAAGTTTTAAGCTTCATATTTTAGGAAGAAGTAAAGAATTTTGATGCAATTTATGTGCACATATTATTTTCTATCAACACCTCCTTTACAGCTCTGACCATTAGATATGATTACCCTCGACATTGCTATCCACAGCATAGCAATGTTGAGGGTGTAGCTCCCCTGGCAGAACACAGCATCTGATTGCAAACTTCATAAATCCTCTAAACTTTAGGACCTGAAAAAGAGGGACACCTTGGTGTGGAGATGATGTACCATGGGTAGAGAGTGCACCATGACAGGTGGAATACTGGGCAGGGCTTAACAGGATGTGGCTAAACATAGTCTGATCCTACTCTCAGTTTTATACATGCACACCTATGCCACAGTTTTTGCAAATTACTTGTAAATGACTGTGCCATAAGCATCGAGGGTTAGTGGGAGTAAGAATGCTACAACATCTGGTGTTAGTGGGAGGAAAGCATGCCTCAACATTAGCTTAAGTGAGAGGAAGGATTCTAATATTGTTGGTGATCAATGGGAGGAAGAAAAGACTGGTGTTATTGGGAGGAAGAATGCCTTGGCATAATTGGGAAAATAATGCCCTGGTGTCTCTGGGAGGTATAATACACTGGTGTCAGTGGAAAGAGGAATGCCCTGGCCTCATTGGGAAGAAGAATGCCCTGTTGTCAGTGGGAGGAAGAACATCCTATTGTCCGTAGTGGAAGTCTGCTTTTATGTCAGTGGTCAGTGGGAGGAATAAAATGCCCTGGCATCAGTGTCAGTGGGTAAAAACAAACACCCTGGCTTCAGTGACAATGGGAGAATAAAATACCCTGGCATCAGGATCAGGGCAATAAAAAAATAAAATACCCCGGTGTTAGTGAAAAAAAGAAAATGTCCTGGTGTTGGTATCAATGGGAAGAATAAAATGCCCCGGTGTCGATGTTCATGGGAGAAAAACATAACTGTTTTTGGGAAAAAATACCCTGGCATCTGTGTCAGTGAAAGATAAAAATAACCTGGGGTTGGTGTGGGAAAAAAAACCAGTGTCAATGGGAGAAAAAAACCCTCTGGCATCGGGGTCAATGTGAGTAAAGAATGCCTCAACCCAGATGGTCAATGTGAGGAAACATGCCCCGTTGTCAGGAGTCAGTGGGAAGAAAAATTTGTTTCAGAACCTGGAACCAGAACTAGGCGCAGTCCTGTGACACTCTTAGATTATAATCAAATATTGGGACAGGCTTGTGGTGGGATCCAGTATGGCTCGGGAGTGTGGGGTCTGTGTACTGGTGGAATTTCATATTAAACCCATTTTTCCATTTTTTTTTTTGTGGAAAGTTCATCTGCAGCCTGGCAGCGATCAGTAATATTGTAGCTAAGTACTGTATATCCTATGGTCAGAGTACTAGAGGAGGAGAGAAGGTATAGAAAAGGGTAAGTGCACTTAAGGGTGAACCTCTAAACATTAGAATGCTCTATGCAAGCGAGATGAAGTGCAATTAAGTTAGAATTCTAATGATGCATATCTAGGTGTAGTAGCTTGTAGCAGTAGTAGCATGTCACAAACTTTTGTATTAGGCCACTCAGAAATGATGATGTCATCATGTACCCGGTGTCATTTTACATGAAAATTATGAGGATATGTCCAACTCCTGGTGACCCTTGGTCCATGAATTTGTCTCCTAATGTCACAGCGGTGTCACTGGAACACAAAGAGAGAGGAAATATCTTCAGTGGATTCATCTTCGGTGGAGTCACAGAAACAAAAGCATGTTAGCCGAGTCCCTTCCGTACTTTTTGGCAAACTTTTGGCTAAGCTGAACCTTAGTATGCATGTCAGGTCAGTTTCTTAGAATATGGCAAATAGATTTATTTTATAAAAACCATCTCAAATAAAACACATATCTGAGTTGCCTCATAGCAGTTTGATTCTTCTGTTTGTTTTCCCAGTGCAGTTTTAGAACATATGGAATTTCTGATTGCAGTAGTAAAGTCAAAGAGCTGAACATTATTTTTAGCATCATGTCTGGGAATATGCCCTTTGTCAAGTTTCCTTTCCAGCTCCCCATGTTATGAAAGACTGCCCAAAGGGATATATTTCACACCCCACTGTTGCCAATGTCCACACCATTGTCCATCATATCAATTATGAGTTTCCATGCAGTACTTATGTGCAATTTCTACTGATCAATTCCAAAGATTTTCTTTTTATTATTCTTTGTGACAATCTCTGATTGAGGGGTTTATTTATCAAACTTTTCTCCTTACACAACGTTTACCCAAGATGCACACATTTTTCTAAATGAATCTTATGTGGAAAATATGTGAATCGTGGGTGAAAATATTGATAAATAGACCCCTTTATTTTACTTTGTGACTGTAACCTGATCTTTCTTGATTCCATGGCTAAGCTACCCCAACGTCTGTCCATTGAGACTGTCTCAGTAACTGATTGCCTCAGTTTGAACCACGCAGAAGATACAGCAAGCAGCAGCTTTTTATAAGTGCTCTGTTCCAAACAGCACAGATATAAAATGAAGCATTTTTAACATTGGTACATAACTCTGCATGTAGTATAGGCACGGTTTCTAGGTGTTAAAAAGCGACGAAATACAAAAATATGAAAAAGCAAAAAGAGTTTGTTCAGGATATAGAGGAAAACATTTCAGCCCAATGAGATTGTTATGAATTAGATAGGTACTGATCGGTACTGAAATGTCTCCGTATCTATGTTATTTAAGCCCTACATACGATGGGCGTCAGAAAACAGGGGTCTTCGAAGATTATAAATTCTACCACATCATAAAGAGATCAACATTGTCACATGACCTTTCTCTAGAACTAAAACACACAGAGCGTAAGGCATGACATGAAAACTCAGGATTCCATCTCATTAAAAGACTCACACTCCAAACAAAACATCTGATTCTGCCAACATTTTGCTGGAAAACAATGTTGATGCTATAAACATGCTGTAGATAGGATTTTGGGAAATATTGCTGTTTTTTAATTGTACAATGACACACTGAGCCAAAATGAAAAAGCTATTAAGATACTTTAGAAATAGGACCCAAATAGATGGGAAACCGCAACTAAATAAGGGCTGCTGAACTTCTACCCCTGTTGTTTTGAGTAACCCAGGGCCTGATTATGTCATCATTTTCTCAGTAAATACTATACATACCAAAGTATCTTAAGTTAACTACTTATGCATCACTAATAAAATAAATATGTTATAGGAGCATAGGTTATGTACTGGAAGAGTTTAATTATGTATCATTAAAGTGACACTAAACTCAGCAGTTCAATCTTACAAATACATTCAATGACCCTAACTATTAAGAATACTGAACCTTATTTGTGTATCACTCGGCTGTAGATCCTCAAATCATCTCTAAATTGGTGCTGACACTGTGCTTACTTCTGTAGGGTGGCTACTTTTGTTCCCCATGGTCCCTGTGTGTGTTGTAAAGTATCCACTGCTCCAAGCTCACTCCCATGATGGACTACAATCTCAATACAAATTAGTACATTAAATGTGAGATTGTAATCCATTACGTGAGCAAGTTTGGAGGGGTGGCTACTTTACAACACACACAGGGACCATGGGGAACAAAAGTAACCACCCTCCAGAAGGAAGGACAGTGTCGGCATGAATTCAGAGATGATTTGAGGATCTACAGCTGAGTGATACACAAAGAAGGTACAGTACTGTTAATAGTAAAGGTACTTTTTAAGATTTAATTCCTGAGTTTATTGTCACTTTAA